ATGTTTATCCGGTGATCTGTCTTAGTGTTTAAGTCATTGTAGTGACATAGTTATCTAGTATGTGTATTGATGGGAAATAGTAGAAACTCGTGAATTTAGTAGAGATGCATAAGTTAATCCCGGCACTACAATTATATATTAAAAGAAACTCTCTAATGCACATTGGAAAAAGTGAATTAATTAGTTTTTCTATAACCTCCATCAATCATTAGGTTCAATCCACTCACAAATTCTAAAAATAGCTGAACTAATGATGAGGACGAATTATAATTTCATGGGTTGATTTTGCCGCCTCTAAATACATTATACTTGATGAAAATTAAAGAAAAAAAAAGCTTAATTATTGATTTCCCTTTAATGCCTTCAGACGTTATATTTGACACCTTTTTATAAGCATGTATTATTTAGTTTTTATAATTATGTAATTATCTAGAATATTAATCATTTTCTTATTTTTTGATTTTTTGGAAGGGACGAACGAAAAATCTTGTTGTTTCTTCAATAATTTGATCAAATATGGGTAGTTCGTGTCTTCACAAATATGCATATTTTATCTAGTCTCTATCCTTCAAACATATTATTTAATAATATTTATATAATTTTAGAATTATATATTCAAGTATACAAGCGAGCTTTGAAATTAGTATAGAAGACAAACTAGTACAGTAAAAATTTGCATTGGTAATTGTATCTTTAGAAAAAATGTCATTTGTATTTTGGAAAGTTATCATTATAACCATTTCAATGTTGGAGTTGTATTCGTATGATATCATGTGTGTTTCCATTCATATTTTTTCAGGTGTGATTGTATTTATATTTTGAAAGTCAATATTTATATTCATATCACTGACAAGGATATGTGTCATTGAAAGTTAGCATTTGTATTTGTATCTTTGAAAAGTTACCATTCGTATTTTGAAAAGTTATCATCAAAGATCATTTTAATATTTTATTTGTATTCATCTGACCCCACGTGTGATTGTATTTGTATTTTTAAAATTAGCAATTGTATTTGTATCAGTGACAAGAATTTGTGTCAATGGAAGGTACAATTTGTATTATTGAAAGTTATCAATAAAATATTTATTCGAATAAATACATATCTGATATGTATTTATATTCATGTCGATAGTGCCTTGACAATCATTTCGTTTTGTATTTTCAGATGCACATTGCTACCTTCAACCTTGTATTCTAGAATATATAAATTTTTTAAAGAGTGATTTTAGCTCAATTATCATATTTATAAAGATCACTAAAAGATTTTGATATTTTAGAGATTTATGCTCAATTACCATATTTGACAAGATCTCATCGAGTGATTTGCTCAAATAAGTTATTTTATATTTGTATTTTTCAATCATATTCACCGAAAAATATAATTGATACATTATATAACAAACTCAAATTGTAGCTACAAAATAAAGAAATTGTAGCTAAGGAGACCTAGTAACAACCAAATGTTAGTTGCATATGAAAATTCTAAGAGCAACTTTCACATATAGCAAACACAAAATTCATATTTGTATGCTATAGCAAAGTTTGCATAATTGCGCTCCATAGCAAACATATATATGTATAATTCGCTATAGATATACAAAAAAATAGTTGTATAATTCGCTATACATATACAAAGAAAGCAGTTGTATACAAAAGATCAATTGTATAATCTGTGTATGTATAAAACGAGAAAGAGAGAAAGGCAAAAAAAACTGAGCAGGAAAATATTTGTATTATATAATTATAAGTGTATAGGACGAAGATATATGTATTTGCATGTGTACATACAATTTCCTCTCGCTTTATACAAACAGAAGTGCAATTTGTACATTTCGTTTCTGTTTGTATAAAGTGAGAGAGGCGAGTGAGCGAGCAAGATCTGGGAGAGTGGCGAGCGAGATCTGGGAAAGGGGAGAGAGGGGAACGAAAATATATATATATATATACAATTTTCTCTCACTTTATACAAACAGAAGTGTAATTTATACGTTTCGTTTCTGTTTGTATAAAGTGAGAGAGGCGAGTGAGCGAGCGAGATCTGGGAGAGGGGAGAGAGGGGAACGAAAATATATGTATATATACAATTTCTTCACTTTATACAAACACAAACACATTTTATACATTTGCGTTTTTGTATAAAGTGAGAGAGGCGAGCGAGACTGCCACCAAGCGAGAGTGGCGAGTGAGATTCCACCAGAGAGAGTGGTAAAAATAGCAATAGTTTGCTATAGGGTACAATTAAATCAAAGTATATTTATAGCATTTAATTTGAATTAATAGTTTGCTATTATATACAATTTTTCCAAATTCTAATATAAGCAATTTGTGAATCTGATTCCACAATTTAGTGTTGGTATTTTTTCTGGAATCCACCTACTTTAGTTCATGGGCCCTAAAAGAGATAAGCCTGTTGGATTCTGGGCTAATCCCATTAACCATGGACCTACTTTTAACAGTTAGCAAAACATATTTACATTCACAAGTCAAATTTTATGTATATTATATGTATACTATATATCAATTGGTTATTTTTTTGCGTGACAGTTAAAAAATTCGTAATTTATTTCCAACCTAAATTACGAGTACGAGGAAGGTATATTTATTGAAACCAACAGCTTAATAAGGAAGAAAAAATGATGCAGTATGAGAAAGAAAGTTATGTTTATGTTAATAAATAATGTTTGGACACCAAATTCCACCTTTTATTCCAGGAAGCTTCATATGGTCTTGACCAAACTAATTAAATTAACTTTAAATATATGAATAAAAATAAAATTGACTTCTTCTGGTCGTTGGAGACATTTTTCAACAATTTGATTTTTCATTTTGTACGTAGAAAAGTCTTGTTGGTAAGTGTTAAAGTCCAATCAAGTATTAATTCATTCATATACAGTTCCAATCACGAATACAAATTACAATGTACATTATATGTTAATAATAAAAATATAGTTATAAATCATAACTGGACAAATTATAGCGAGGAATAATAGTTTTTTACGAAATTCACTTTCAGAAATATATGTGATTATTTACAAGAATAATTTCCTCTCTTATGTAAGGTGACCCGAAAGAATTTTCAAATCCTTCTCTTGAATTATATAATAAAATGAACCAATACTTATTCTTTGTAGATTTGTAAAAATATATAAGATTTGGAAGATCAGTAAATATATAAAGATACAAAATACAATATTTGTCGACAAAGAATGAGTTAATTTTATTTGTAAAATAAATCTTTATTGTAATGGAATTTAGATACTTCATTGTTGAAAACATATTTTATTCAAACATCTTAAGATATTGTCTAATACATTTATTTTACTAAAAAAGGTACAATATCTTATAGATAGAAAGGGGATTCACAGAGATGAAACCTATTGTTTTAACCCAAAAAAAATAAAACAATTGTTGATAAAATATTTTAATTTTCTGAAAAAATTATACTATATCAAAAGCATGAAAAATACCACGAAGTACAAATATATATGTTAAATTGATTGAAGTACAATGAGGCATCAAATGACACATATGTGTGGTAATTAAGATTTTTTGTTCTTTTCTTTATTGAGGTAGTTGAATAGGATCATTTCAATATTCATTATTCTAAAAAACTCACAATTTTTTTTTTCAATTTTAATTAAGGGAAAATTGTACATAATGGCAAACTATTAATTCAAATTAAATGGTATAATCACACTTTGATTTAATTGTGTCCTGTAGCAAACTATTTGCCAGCGCCTCTCTCCCTCAAACTCTCGCTCGCCACTCTCCTCTCTCGCTCACTCCCTCTGTGCTCGCCTCTCTCGCTTTATACAACAGAAGTGTATAAATTGCGTTTCTGTTTGTATAAAGCGAGAGAAAATTGTATATACACATGCAAATACATATATATTCGTCCTATACACTTATAATTATACAATAAAAATATTCCCCTGCCCAGTTTTATGCTTGTATAATGTATAATTTATGTTTGTCAACGATTTATACAAACGAGAGGCTAACAACAATTTATACAAATGGTCTGCCAGCGAAATTATACAATTCTGAAGAGGAGCCAACGAATTATACAATTGCTTCTTTTTGTATATATGTATAGCGAAATAGACAGCTTTCAATTGTATATGTATAGCGAATTATACATATATATGTTTGCTATGGAGCGCAATTATGCAAACTTTGCTATAACATACAAATATGATTTTTTTGTTTGCTATATGTGAAAGTTGCTCTTTAATTAATCACTCAAATATATCATTCAACAAAAATTATATTATTTTCTTAAACTATATATCTATTGAGATAAGATATACGTGCAAACTTTAAAACTAGTATCGAAAACAAACTTGTGTGGGTTGTTGTACCCATGGGGGTAATTTACCATAATCTCAATGATTGAACTTTGTCTTAAGACATTTGTTGTGGTTAAAGTTTCATTTGTTATGAGTTCTACTCTCTGTGCAGTCTTAATTTTTTTGATTGATTTGGTCTAGGCTACATCTTAAATGTTTGATTTTCAATTTATTTTCTTAATGAGGATGCCACTAGGCACTAGCTATTGCTATTCATTTCACATTTTATCTATTTCCAACTTATAGACATGGCATTATCAATATTTCGTGGTATATTTGAAAATTACATTTAAAGTACTATAAATTATAATAATAAATAATTTAATTTTTTTTTATTAACTCTCAAAATTTTATCAATACCATGAAAATTGAGACAAGATGAGTAATATACACCATTTGAAATTACGCAAGAAGTATCATAAACTACAATAATAAACATTTTTAAAACAATTGATTGACTCTCAAAATTTTATCAATGTTGCATAAGTTGAAACAAGAAGAATAAAAAAACTATTATAAAAAAATTGATTAGCTCTGCAAATTCTATATATATATATATCACATAAATTGAAATAAAGAAAATAACATATATTAGAGCCACGTGATCTTATATTGGAAAATCATTGTATTTATCTACCACACCAACCTTATTATAAGTAAGTAAATAAATAAATAAGGTAAAATATGATTGAATCCAAATTTTTGAACGTCTTTGCTAATTCCACTTATTTTGGCAAATCGGAACCCTAACTCCATTTCTCTCCAGGCCGCCACTCCATATTTATCAGTGTACGAGCTCAAAGCCAAACGGTACGTATCAGCTTTTGTTTTGTTTTGTTTAAATTCTCATATTATTACATTGTTGCTGCGATCTTTGAGTTTTTGTGAGCCTGAGTTCTTTGGCTGCGATCTTTGAGTTTTTGTGAGCGTGAGTTCTTTGGCTGTTTAGGGTCATGTTGAGTCTGCTTTAGATTTGAAAAATGAATTATCTAAAGTTTAATAATGTGAGCATGAGTTCTTTGACTGCTTATGGTGATGTTGAGTCTGTTTTAGATTTGAAAAATGAACAATTTAAAGTTTAACCTTTAGAATATCTCGTTAAGCAGAACAATGACGGACAAACATTGTCCGATTGAAGAGGAGAGTAGTGTAAAGGAAGGTGAAGGTGTAGATGATTCACATAACAATGAAAAAGAAAAAGGCTACTATTCTGATGACTATATTGTGACCTATGCTGGCGGTCGCAAAATGAGCCGCAAACATCGGGAAGAGTATATGAGGCAGATAAACGAGAGCGAGGTAAGTTCCTGACATTGTTGCATTGGTTTCTCTACTTTTATTTTGATTTCCCCCCTTTTTGCAATTAGGGTTTTGATATCACTCTGGATTTGGAATTGAATGCTGCTCTTGGAGGTCCAGTTGTTCCACTACGGGGTGACTTTTACAAACCGTTATGTACTGAGCTGTCCCATATGGCCATCCACAAATTCAATAAGGAGAATGTACGTAACCTTAAATCCCTCATTCTTTTTGGTTATTACAACTAATTGTGTACTGATACTTGGTTGTCTTCATTTAAGGCTCTAAATTATGAATTTGTGGAAATTGTGAATATGACCGCACAATTGGGAGGGGGGGTTTGGTATTATATCACATTTAATGCCAAGGATGCTGACGCTGCTATAAAGACCTTTCAAGCATTGGGGTGGCAGGGAGTAAGTGGAGACCTAGAAGTGAGTTTTTGCAGGTTTAAGAAATCATCCAGCCATGAAGGTATACTTTTTAATATGCCTTCTAGCTTGTTACTTGTATTGCTTATTTGTGCAGCTTGCTTATGCTTTAGTTGTTTTTGTTACATTGTTTCATTTATTTTATGAACAAAAGACTAATACAGTACTTTTGGCCCATTCATACCCTTTACTCTTGTGCTATCCTACATTGCTTAATTCCACCATGTGACACACTTTTGGCCCATTCATACCCTTGTTGTTTCAAATTGTCTTGTAATTCTACTTTACATCAATGGAGCTTTAACTTAAAATGGGTGGTCTTCATGTTCCATAAGTTTTCAAGAAAACGGTTCAATTTACTTTTTCAACTTTTGCATATGCCTTTAAGCTATCCCTGGATTGGACCTTCGTTAGGAATCAAGGAAAAAACAGGACTTTTTATAATAGCTGGGGAAACATTAGACAAGTCTACTAACAAAAAATTGCTCAATTTTAGATATTATATGCTTAAAATATTTTATTGATAATAGAGATGAGTGGGTTGTTATAAAGTCAACTTTCAAGTGTTCCAATAAGCAATTGATGAAGGGTTTGCTTGATGTCTTTGACTAGAGTTTGTAGCTGGACCCAAAGGATGGGGAAGGGAGGTAGGACTTGTCGACAATTTGGGTTAATTTTGATACACAAGTGTTCGAGCTCTTGTTGGTTACAAATAACTAGATTTAGACTATTCTAGATGTGGCTTTTGATGAATTTAATTCTTCGAATCTTATCGGAACACACACAACATTTCAAAGTTCTTTTGTCTAGTCCACAATTTTGCAATAACTTAGCTATTTTTTGCTCTAGTGGTTTGAGATTCTTGAAAGTTCAGGTCCATGTGCATACGAGTTTTTAGTCTAGTTGATCATCATTTCTTTAATTGTTACCACTCTTTTAGTTGTCTATGATCTTACCATGAACAATTAGATTCATTTTGGAAAATTCTTTAGGACAAGAGTTTTCTCACATCAAATAATTTTAAAACATAAAAGAATTCTACTCCCTTGTGATTGCAAACTTGTTTTTCAAGAAAGCAAGGTTTGCATCATACAAACAAGTGATGATGAGAAAATTGATGCTTTACATTTGTTTTTGGCCAACCTTACTTTGGTTTTCTGTGTTATAATTATTTGTTTTTTAAATATTTGGCAGGTGATACGAAATCTCCTAATTCTGATGTTGGTACGCAGTGCACTTGCCATCTCTTAAAACCCCTCTATTATTGTTGGTTATTGTTAAAAACCGGTGTTATTTACTTGTGTTATTACTAAGACAAAGGAAAAACATGTTGTGATGTGGTGTTTTAATCTCGTACTTATTATGAGAATGTAATGACGTTATTTGTGTTACTGCTAAACACTGGAAATAGTGTTGTGATGCGTTATATTTGATGATGAATGTCTTATGTTGGAGCGTAACGTACTGTTCAGAAAACCTTTTGTTGATAAAATACTTTTATTTTTCCGAAAAAATTATACAATATCAAAATCATGAAATATACCATGTAGTACAAATATGTTAAATTGATTGAAGTACAAAAAGGCATCAAATGACACGTGTGGTAATTAAGATATTTTGTAGTTAAATAGAAGTATAAATTATAGGAACCACATATTATAAGTACTAAATAACATTCTATCCCTTCTAGTTTTCTATTTATCAAAAATCCCATAAAAATGATGTTTGCGGGATCCATAGCGTTGTGCACGGGATACATTAGGTTTGATACATTCCACATAGCGGGATACATAGCGTTGTGCACGGGATACATGCGGGATACATAGCGTTGTGCACGGGATACATAGGTAAATAAGGGATTTTTGAAATTTTTGAAATAAGTAGGGATAAATGGATATTAAGATAAGTAAAGGAGTGTAGTTAAGTAATTTGTCCTAAATAGAATCATTTCAATATCCATCAATCTAAAAAAACTCACTTTATTTTTTCAATTTTAATTAATCTCTCAAATATATCATTCAATAATATTTATATTATTTTTTAAAATTATATATTTATTGAGATAAGATATACACTACAACAAAAATAATTTTTAGCGATAATAATATAGATATTAATAAAGAATGTTAAAGTCTTTATTGTCATTAGTTAAGTATCATTAGAATCAATGTCGCTAAATGTTTTAGGGACACATACAAAGAGTGCTAATTGATGCTAAAAATACATATTTAGTGGCAATTAAGCTATTACCATTAATTAATTGTCAATAATAATTATTTTTGATGTAGTGATATGTGCAAACTTTAAAACTAATATCAAAAACAAACTTGTGTGGGTCGTTGTACCCATGGGGTAATTTACATAATCTCAATGATTAACTTTGTCTTAAGACATTTGTTGTGGTTAAAGTTTCATTTGTTATGAAGTTCTACTCTCTGTTCAGTCTTAATTTTTTTGATTGATTTGGTGTAGGCTACATCTATTACTTATACTTAAATGTTTGGTTTTCAAGTAATCTATTTAAAAAAGAAATATGACTTTTAAAAAAAATACATGTCAGTAAATTCTATCCACATTTTTCACGTTGCTAAAGAATAGAATTTTATTAACTAATAAGCAATTTATTTTTTAATCACAATTAAAATGTAAATTTACAGTTTTTAAATACTTTCGAAATATGCAGTTTTAAATACTTTTTAATAGTAATAAAAAAACAATAAAACTGCACAATTAAAAGAAATCGAATTTGTCACACGTTGGCTTCTTTTTCAAAAATAATAAGCAACAAATAAATAAAATTTTAAGAGCCTTTAAATTTTAAATCACAAAAAAAAACTGTCAATAATTTTAAAAGACAAAACTGTCAAATTCAAAAGTATTGGAACTTCCACCCGCTTTGTATTCATATAGTAATATTTTTCATTCTTTTCCACAATCTCTGTATCATTTTGCATTTATTGATTTTCTTGAAAAACTTTTAGGGCTTCAATTTACAAAAAGAAATAAAAAAAAAATTATAGATGAAAGAATTTTTTTTAAGTTTTACAAAAATAAGAAGAAGAATTCAGATCATATATTTGTTCTCGGTTTCATATTTGTGTAGTTACAAAATGAATTTGAAATGCATTTTCAATTGATTCATCTTTTTGTTTTCTTTCTGAATTCGTATTATTTTTATCTACATTATAAAATTAGAATTATGATTTTGTAGGGTTGAAGTACTTTTAGGACTTTATCACATATTGAAGAATTCTCCACCAGGTAAAACTCAAAATTTGAGTCTTTATTTTCTTTTCTATTATATATATTTTTATTTTTATTATAAATAAAATCTAAATTATGAGATTTGCTACAAGAATTCTTATGAAAAATGTTTCTCCATTTAAACCCTAAATAATGTCGTCATCAATTTAAGTGCATTGAGAAGGTATAGAGTTCATCGATTAACCTTAAAAGTTTTTATTTAGTACTAAATTAAATAATCTTGTGCTTTTTTTTTATTTAATCATTGTTTCTTCTAAAGATGTGGAAGTTATAAAACGAGAAGAAACATATACATGTTTAATTTTGTCATTATTATATTATTATTAACCCACCATTACAAAAAATTCATTATATTCTCGAATTTTCAGTTTCAGTTAATTAAATTTAAAATAGAAAATAAAATTTAAAAATTATCAATTTACAAAAAGATGCAAAAAAAATAAATAGAAGAAACTGTCAATTGACATAATCAAAAGCTGTCAATTTACAAGATTATTAAAGTTTGTTTCTAAAATTTTAATTTAAATTCTAATAATTTATAGGACAATATTAAAAGAATTTTGAAATGAAAGAAGAATTAATATTGAATATTTCAAAATATCATATTTCATAAAACCTAATAATGCTATTTAATGAAACGTCAATGTAATAATAATTAATTTAAACTAAAACATAAAATATAACTTCGGTTAGTTTAATCAAAATTAAAATATTAAGTAAATATTTAGGTTAAAACATAATGTATATACTTATATTAATTTTTGAAAAATAAAAAGCATAAAATAAAAAGACAAAGAAAGAAAAAGGAAAAAAATATCTAAATAAAACTGCGCACATCCCTTGCCCCATATCCCCACTAACTCATATGCACAATTTTAATATTTATAAAAGGAAAAATTACTTAGATGAGTGTCTTTTAATAAATGATTACTGATTTTAATAATATTTTTTATTTATTATCATTTATAGTAATACTATGTTAAATCTACAATATATATGTATTATAACTGTTTTCAAAAATATATTATGCTAGTTTGGTAAGAAGTTGACACATTGTATTATAAGTGTATTAAAATGTGTGATAAATGTATTATCCATCAATAAAACTTGTATTATATGTGAATAATAAATTGTTCTTTGTAATATGTATTAAAACTGTAGTATAAATGTATTAAAAGTGATCAAGTGAAAAAAAATGTTATTGCTATAAATGATAAATATTTTTTTATCATAGTATATTTATGTTAGTTTCCCTTTATAAAATACGTGTCTTAAAAGATCCTGTATTTTTTAAACTGTATTTCTACAAAAATTGCTAATTTCTTGAACTTAAGTCAAGACTTAATATGTAATCTATGGGAATTAATACTTGAGTCAAGAAATTTTGCTAAGCTCTAGCTTGAAGGTAAAGTACCTCCGCATATATTCTGTTTACTTAGAATCGTCAAGGATATTATTTTGCCCAAGAAAAAGATAAATTATTTTGTCAAAGATATGAACAGAATTGCAATATCTACGACTTTGCTTATTAGTTTTTGAATTTGAAGTCAACTATTAAAGTTTCAATTTTTATGTTTCATTGATCATAAGTACTCATAGTAATTTGTTTGTGTTGTCAAATCCTTGTTCTTTTATTTATTCTTCTTCTCATCCGATAAATTTGATTCTTCTTGAAAGTTAACACTTCGAAGCATACTTTATGCTACTGCTCACATGTTTTTTTTTCACAAAAAATAGGCATCATGTGAAAGGCAAAATAAATTAAAGTTTTAGCGCCCCTTTCTAATTTAGATTGAGTTCCGTCTGTAACTCGGACTTAAAAAACAAGTGTCTTACGAAAATTTTAAGATCTATGGCTGCTATGATACCATGTTGAAAGTGTGATCATCTTATTTAAAAACTTAAGGTATTACTCATTACTTATTAGAGAGCACATTTTTATTAATTAATTATATTCTCAATAATATCGTATAAATAAATAGTGTATAATGTGTATATATGATGTATAACTATATAACACACACACACACATATATATATATACATTATCATACAATATTTATACATTGCAACAATTCATCTTCCTCTCAAGCTAAATTTTTTAAAGATCCCGACCAATTCAAATTTCCTTTAAACAATCCCAAATTTTAGATATGAGCTCCTCTCGATGTTTCAATTCTTTTGATATACAGTTCACTCAAAATTAAACGATTCATGTTTGCGGCAGTTCAAATTTTAAATTTGAGCTTCGATTCACTTCAATGACGAATTTAGATGGACATCCAACTCAAATCTCTTCTAAATAGTCTCAAAACTAAGAAATGAACTCCTTTGAATGTTTTAATTCTTTTTTATATATTATTTACTTGAAACAATTTGTATTTGCGGTAAGTCAAATTTTAAAATTTGAGCTTTCCAGTACTTCCAAGAGAAGCAGCAACAAGCTCAAGATTACTCGAGTGACCAAAGAAGATTTGAGTTGACATAGACGTGAATATTAGTTAATGAACCGAATGGAAATTCTCGATAATTAGCTAATAATTGGGTTATTTTGGGTTAGAACTTTGATTGAATGATAAATTCTGTTTAATTATAAAATAAAAAAAGTTTGGTAAGCAAACTCCACTCAACAACATATAATATAACCATGACATGCTTACTCATACAATAACATCATCTACACATCGCCACATATACCAAATTGTATAAATATACATATATCAACTTTACATCTTTATATGAGCGTAAAGAATTTCATATACCTAAAATCTCTTATCCAACTACTTCTTTTGACAATTCCTAGCCATTTTCAAATATTCTTATATCAATTTTTCAATTTCTTTTTTAAGGCTTCTAGTATTATCCCAAATATTTTGTTTTTGCAATGACATTGACAATACTACCTTCGGGGTGGCCTATTGGTTTGGGCTTGGAACTTCCATGTTGGACGTCGCAAGTTCGAAATCCCTTGCCAGTGAAAGCAAGGAGTTCCTAAACAAGTAGTTCCTCCGGAATCCAATGAACAACGACGATTACTTAGGATCAACTTGCGAATTTGTGGCACCGTAGTAGAATCAGTTTGCCTTTTGGGTCGAGCTCGTCGCCTGATGCTGGTTATGGTTTTGCGAGCTATTGCATAGGAGCGGAGGTTTTACCCTATCCGCACCTAAAGGATAGCGACTGCGAGTTTTCCTTGTCGTAAAAAAAATAAAAATGACATTGACAATACTACCTTCGGGGTGGCCTATTGGTTTGGGCTTGGAACTTCCATGTTGGACGTCGCAAGTTCGAAATCCCTTGCCAGTGAAAGCAAGGAGTTCCTAAACAAGTAGTTCCTCCGGAATCCAATGAACAACGACGATTACTTAGGATCAACTTGCGAATTTGTGGCACCGTAGTAGAATCAGTTTGCCTTTTGGGTCGAGCTCGTCGCCTGATGCTGGTTATGGTTTTGCGAGCTATTGCATAGGAGCGGAGGTTTTACCCTATCCGCACCTAAAGGATAGCGACTGCGAGTTTTCCTTGTCGTAAAAAAAATAAAAATGACATTGACAATACTACAGGGAAGAACAAATTTTTCTAATTTCAAATAGTATCGAGGCAAAATTGTCCATGAATCAACCAATAGTGAAAGGGTTAACAATAGGGTGGATCTTTAGCTTGGAAAGAAGGTGAAGTTTTGTACACTTAATTGAGATTTGAATCTAATTCATTTAGATTTAACATATTAATTACATTAATTTTTTTCAAAAAATTGGTAAATATTGTTTAATTCAACTTAAGCATTTGTTTTAGTGTAAGAAAAATGAAATCACGGAAAATGCATTTGACATTCTAAAATAATCCCTCTTTCTCAATGCCATAAATAGAGACAAATTAAAAAAAATACTCCCTTAGCCTCATTTTAATTATCGTTTTAGCTTTTTACTCCCTAAAAAAAATAAGAAATATAAAATATAGTTTACTAAGTTATTTTTGACAATTTTTTTCTCTTAAATAGGGTGCATACTAATTCAATGTTGAGAGTATAGTTAGAAATAATTGTTAACTTTAGTCTTACCGTTTTTAAAGTACTAACAATTATTTTGGTACAATTTTTTCTTGAGCTAAAACATAATTAAAATGAAACTGCCAAAAGAGTATTAAGGGAACACTTATAGTCCTTCACTAAAATACATACATTGGTTGATGAAACAACAAAGCACAAATAATAGAAAATTGAAAGAAAAATTCTTTAGCAAAGTATACACAACGGTTCCACACTCCCAAGAATCAAATAACAAAAGCTCGATTCTTTCGAGTTGAGAATACCAACACAAACTCAAAGATAATTACCAAATCCAAACACCAGAAAAATATATATAATCTTATACGAAGAAAATTATGTAAGTAGAAAAAACAACGAGCTTGTATAGTTGATCTTGTAGGTTGATCCGCTCTATTGCTCTTTCCTTGTGCCTATTTTGCTTTAGGAGTTGATTCACATGTACAACCTTTGTAACTTCGTGTTATTTGGAAGGCTGCAATTTCTTAACTGATGAGTAACGCGTTATATATATAATTATCTTTTCCAGCTTCGACTTTTCGATAATTGATCTCTAACACCACCCACAACCCATGTCTCCTTTGCTATATCTGCTGAAAATTTGTGAAAATCATTTCCATATCTCATCACTACGAAGTTTTCGTTTTTCTTCTTGTTTTCCATTTCTTCCATTGTCGATTTCGCTTTCTTTTCTTCTTCATTGTCCTCCTCCTCATCCTCGTCCTCTTCTTCTTTTTGTACTTGTTGTGTTTCTTGAAGCCAGCTTTTCGGGGGAGCAGAACGACAACGCATGAGTAAAAGTGCATTAGGTGGTGGCACACAAATAGGAACATTATCATCATCATCATTATTATTATCGCGCTCTGTTTTAGTGAGCTCTGTTTTCTGATTTTCATCTTGTAAAACCATGAACCATTTGGAGAATACAGTTTTTGAAGATTCTTCTTCATCATCATCGTCTTCGCGATCATTTAAATCTCTACCTATTTGATTCATTCCTCTTCGTTCTAATTCATCTCCATCATCCTCCTCCTCCTCCTCGTCATCAGAAGTAATGTCATGAGTTGTTGTTGGAAATGAACCGAAGCATCGAAACTCAAACCTTATGTTACGAAGACATGTTAAGAATTGCATTACATCTTTCTTAATTCCAATTGCTTCCATCCAATTAGCACCTTTCTTCTTTTGAGCCTTTCTGTTGTGTAGCTTCTCTATTTCTTCCATCACTGATTGCCAATTCTTGCATGAACTCCCCTGTTTTGGCCTTACCTTGATTTGCCCTGTATACAGAAACAGAGTAAAAATTCAATCTTTTTTCTTCAAAACATAAAATTTGTACTCTATGTTGTTCAGCCTCTTCAAAAATATTATCGCAGCCATGAATTTGTAATTAGCGCAACTTTCGAAGAGTTCAAACAACATATAATACAATAGTTGTTATCTCAGAAAGTTACATTTCTTCTTGATTTAATTTTCATATAACACAGAAACTGACTTTCCGAGATAATAACTACTAGTAGAGTGGATATAATAATACCTGCACAAGTGACTTTTGGTGAAGTGGGCTCTGAGATTATCTCTGAATTCTTGGATTTAGCCCAAAGAAGAGGACTAGATTGGGCTGGAGCTCCACCAATTCTGGTGCTAATTTTCTTGAGATCATGATTGTGGTGGCGTTTGCTTGAATCTGAATGTCTTGCTGGGCTACATACTGGTTTTGGCATAAGGGTTAAATGTGCTCTAGATGGAAAACATACTAAAAGATCTGCTGAAGGAGGTCCTTTTCCTCTTCTAGCACCTTTCATTCTCTTCTTTCTTTCTATTCTTCTTGAAAATGTTGTTTAAGTTATTTGAGGTCTTGCGGTTTGAAGAAGTGTTGGGATGATGATCTTTGGGGACCTTTTTTTTCCCTTTCTGAATCTTGTGCTTAGAAGAATGAGTTTTTAAAAGAAGACAAGGAAGGGGGAGGAAAAAGCATTTTCTTTTACGCCTATTAAATTTATGTGATATAGTTTGACTTAACACGTACTATAAAAAAAAAACTTTTGAAAGTTAAGGGTGAAATGACTATTCCAAAGTTAAATTGCTATTAAAGGTGACTAAAAAGAAAGGTGAGTCATATAAATTAGAAAAGACGGAGTATTACTTCTTTTTTCCCACTTGGTGTCTGATTAAATTTGAATTCACGCCAGAAGATCCTATATTGAAGGTAAAATGTTTTCTAACAAAAGCAACTATGTACATAAAGGACTTGAACCCGAGATATCTTGGTTAAGGGGAGTATTACTTTTTGTTGATGTGCTTCTCTCTTTTTACAATCTGTTTGATGGTGCATTTTTCTCTCTCTCTGTCAAATGGGGTCACAAGTGTGACCTTCCTTTCTTTCTTAGCTAGTTTCTACTTTTTCTCCAACCCCTTGCCTAACAACTAATTATTATTATTATAGATAAAGAAAGACCAAAATATAATTGAAGAAGAAAAAAAAGAAAAGTATAGTTCAAAGAGGGATAATAAAGAAAGGAAAAGTTTAGATGCCCACGAGCTTTGTTTCATGATCCAATCATTCCATCAACTTGTGAGACCACGCCAGCCAGCTTAGGCAAGGGTCATGCCATAGAGGTATTTGGCCACAAATCCATCCAACCAAAAATATGCATATTCCAAAGTCCCTTTGCTTAGAACAATTCTATTTTTGGAAAACAAAAATACTCCGTTCGTTTCAATTTATATACCTTACTTTCTTTTTAATCTGTTTCAAAAAGAATATATTTCTATTTAGTATTTGATATGTCATATACATCTTCTTTTTGTTTTTCAAGATTATAAAAATTAATAATTATATTTGTATTTTTTTCGTGATCAGTCAAACTAAGACGCGAAATGAAATAGAGAAAGAAACAAGATGGGAACCAACAAGAAAATAAGAGCAATAAAGTGATGTATGAAAAGGCATGTCAAATTGATTGAGAGGAGAAATGCAATGGATGAGCACTGAGGCATCTTACTCCTTGGCCCTCTTTGCCTAGTTATTGCAATGATAAGGGAAAAAAGGAAAAGAACTTCATAGTGACACTTTAGTTGTAATTGAACTAAATTACTTCTAACAAGTTGATGGATATTACATTCATTCAGTTTTATTAAGTATTATTGTTTGGTTAAACTTCACAGAAAGAAAAAATTGCATCTACTATCAGGGAGGGGTACATTTACAAGTCTAATAAAAGAAGTTCCCGAAGTGTATACACTATATAAAAATAATCTTTAGAGATAATTAATTAATGACAATAGTTTAATTGCAACTAAATATGTATTTTTAGTGACAAATAACACTCTTTGTAAATGTCTCTAAAGTCTGTAACGACATTGAATCTAATGACAATTAACTAATGCCGCTAAAAAATTTAATACTCTTTCTTAATGTATATATATTTACTACCGCTAAAAGTTATTTGTGTTGTAGTGGTATTGTCATTGTTGCTAAGGTATTTGCAACAATATTTTGTTCTACTCTTGCTCATTCATCTGGTGGAGTAAGTACCTACAAATCCAAAACCAACTATATTATCAATTACCTTTATTAAATCGCGTTATACTTCATATTATTTCTTGAGCCAACGTTGCATATTCAAAACGCACCTTTTATACACTAATAGTATATAAGTTCAATCCTTCTTGGTAATACTTACAAACTTATTTTTTTCACATATAGCAAAAGAGTTGTGTCATTTTGGCAGATAAATTTTTTCATTCTTTTTGCTATTCTGAAAAGCTATGTCATTTTTTATGTTGATGAGATTTAGAAAAAGAACGGGGGCCAAGCAAAAGAGCTAGCCTAAAGTTGTGTCAAATATAATGCATGACATAAAGTTTCCAAAGTGGGAATAGGACTCAAGTGCATTTTATAAGTGAGAACATGTAAGGTTGGCAGAAGATTTGAGTGGATGGAGAAGTTGAGTCATGAACAAGTGTTTTCCCACAGTTATTGCTGGGCAGAAAGGAGAACCCTTAATATTCTTTATACATCATTGACGACATGACTTAAGAGGAAGCAATTTTAAGTGTATATATCCATCTCTTAGTCAACTATGTACATCTTTTCTTCTTTTTTTAAACTTCAGGATATATAGTTCGAATTCGCACTGGCTACAATTTCTGTCACAGCATCTACACCTTCGGGTGAGCACTTTGTCGGGACTGGATAAACCCCTCACTATATAATTGTCACGACCCAGACCGTCGTGATTAGCACTCACACTAACCCTCCGGTGGGAGAACCATTACTACTAACCAACTAACCCCAAAGCTAGACATTTAAAGATACGGAATCAGGTTTAAATGTAGAAATAAACTGGAGTTCCCATAAACTCCGAAAGTTCAACTAATGCAGAAATAACCCCTAGAACCTGAAAGTCATTGTAACAAAACATCTAAAGTTCAACAAGTCTAAGACAAGGAGTACAACCCCAACCAACATAAACAACTACTAAAGCAATGTCTAAGTCCGAACATAATGGACTAAACAAAAACGAAGGATCCATGGCAGCCTGAAAGAACTGACTCACCCTTGAATCCGAGCTCGATCAGATATCTCCTAGCTGAGGTCTGCCCGTAGCCGCTTGAAGATGTCATGTACTCAATAAAAAACGAGTAAGTGCAGTATCAGTACACAAATACAGTGTACTGGTAGGATCACACGGCTATTCCAGTAAGCGAAACATATATAACCAGTCACAAAATAGTAAACATGACATGTACATAATATATATACACATTGGTTATCATTTCATGAGCAATGTACAATTCCACATTCTCAATACAAGTAAATATGACAATTCAATGGTCCTCTCATGGAACCCATACTCAAATTGTTAGTGTACCGGAACATGACATCGATCTCAATTAGTGTGTCGGAACGTGACACTCGATCCAATGTATGTGTCGGTACGTACACCCGATCCCAATTAGTGTGTAGGAACGTGACACCCGATCTAATATATGTGTCGGTACGTGACACCCGAATATGACAATTCAATGGTCCTCTCATGGAACCCATACTCAAATTGTTAGTGTACCGGAACATGACATCGATCTCAATTAGTGTGTCGGAACGTGACACTCGATCCAATGTATGTGTCGGTACGTACACCCGATCCCAATTAGTGTGTAGGAACGTGACACCCGATCTAATATATGTGTCGGTACGTGACACCCGATCCAATCATCATACCACAATCACAATGTACATTCTCATAATCATACAATCAAGTGTTGATTCATGGCATACAATTGTTCATTCATACTCATTTACATTAGGTTTGATCAATAGTGCTACATTCACATACATACATGCATTACAATGAAGCAAATACCAACATACATCACATAAACATGAAATCAAATCATCACCTACCTCGAAACCAAGCTCGAATCCCCCTAAGGCACTTGAATCTTCCCTTTCCGGATTCTTTCCGCTTGTTCGTGGTCTAAAAACAACAATTTATTACAATGATCAATAAACGAGGCCTAATTACGCGGATTACAATCAATATTATCAATCCTAGGCCAAAACCCAAGATCCCAGTACCCAATTTAGGATTTTTTCACCATTAACTTCAGGTCAAAACCTTCCCCCACTAATAAATACCCAAGAATCTAAGTTCTACAGATCAAAAAATGGATTAGGGGAGTAAAAACCTTACCTTTAGCGTTAGAAGAGGTGGAAAACTGTCAAGTACTTGCCCTGGTTCGTTTCTTAGCTCTCAAAAGGTTGCAGAATAATAACGTTTTTGGGGTTTAATCCCAACTTAAGTCGCGACTGGCCCGATACAGCGGACCCCATCCTGCCACAGCGGCCCCGCCCTGGCGGAATAAATTCCGTCCTGGCGGCTTGCGCGGAGACAGAACGTCGGAATTAGAGTTTCAAACCCCCATTTCACAACACACACCTTCAACCCATGACATTCAAAAACTACCCGTTCACACTAAGATCAGTTTTGGGAGTTCTATTCACACGAATTCGATTTCGTAAAGTCGTACGGGTTTCTTAACGTCTTAGCTATCTACTCATGTGATCAAAATCATAATTAGAGCTCTCATTCATTACCATATTTCCCTAGACCTCACATGACTCAGATTTCGTCCAAATCTGGACTAGGCTAGGAATTTTCAAGTTACTATCCAAAAGTTTTATGGCCTAAATTCTTTCTCCATTGATTTTTTCCTAACGACAGAAATCAGGTCGTTACAATAATAGCATGCAAACCACACAGGAGATGTAGACCACATTAGACAAGTCATATGCGACAGACTCAACTAGGTCCTAAGTATTTAACTAGGATGTGATGTAGTGGATGAGGTTGCTCCTTCCTTAATCAATGATTTCGATTTCGAACTTTGGGTATGAAAAAATCTTGATAGAAAACACTTCCCCTGACTGAACTTTAAGCGCGCAAATTCAGATTAGTCAGGCTTCAATACGAAAACAGAATGACCGGACGAAAAACTAAAACAAAAATATTTTATTTAAATTTTTAAAAGAATGATTATTTTTTGGATTCGAAAACTTCTAAACTTTAAACTTTTATTTTACAACTTAATGTCATGTTTATGAGAACATACATATATTACCCCCACCCAGTTTTATTTACATCAACTCACTAAATATATATTAGTATGTATTGTCTTGCACAATATTATCTCTCAGTTAACATAGTTAAATCAATACACTTTTTTTGTACCTCACCTTCTACATAAACATAGTAAACTAGCTAATGGTATTTATTGTAAACACCGTGTATGAAAAAGTTTTTAGCTTTTTACATCTATTGAAATATTACATATTTAAAATCATAAGTTTTCATTTTATTTTTTAAAAACGCCGTAATCAAACAAATATCGTCATAATTGAAGTACTATATCTTTAAGAAGAAATTTGATTC